TTTTTTTTTTTTTTTTTTTTTTTTTTTTTTTTTTTTTTTTTACACGTGTGTTCATTGCATCTTTTACCTCAACTTTTCCATTTTTTTGTGCCTATGTGTGTTCATTGCGTCGTTTTTACTTCAACTTTTCTTCTTTTTACCGCGGGTGTTCCTTTTGTCATTTTCACCTCCATATTTATTTTTTTTTTTTGCGCGCGTGCGTGTTTGCTTCGTCGCCGGTTTGTTTCTCCGCCATTTTCCAACCGCTTTTTCGGCCGAATCGTGGCGGCGACGGCTGCAGGGAGGGGTTGGGGGTGGTTTGTTTATTTTTTTTTTCTGTGTGTGTTTTTTTGTTTTTTGATTTTTTTTTGTTTTTTTTTTAGCTGCCACCCCCCCCTCACCGCCCACAGTCTCTATTTTTGGATTTGAAATATAAAAAGCCGCAGGTTGATGTTTTTAGCCGCCAGCAGTTTGTTGCACTCGACCGAGTCGACGATGGGCAGCGCCATGTAATCGGTCTCGTTGTTCTCGTTGCTGAAGACAAAATGGTAGATGACGGGGTGGATTTTGACGTCGTCGTAGGGCCCCTCGAGGAGGAGGAAGGAGCACTCCATCGGCGAGTTGATCTTGCTCTTCAGGATGAGCTGGAAGGAGAGGGTGCGCTTGCAGGAGAGGTTGGGGTTGCGCTCGGAGTCGTTGACGCGCGCCTTGAGCACCCAGGTCTGGTTGAGGACGGTGAGACGCGGCGTCTCGTAGTAGAGGCGGGTGATGAAGTCGTCGGTGCGGTACGGGCGGAACTGGACCTCTGCGGAGAGAAAATGGGAGGGGGGGTGTGTGCGTGTGAAAAAGGGGGTGAAATGGCACCCGGCGTCAGCTCAGGGGAGGGTTGAGTGGAAAGGAAGGGGGTGAGGAGGAAACACGAGGGGGAAAAAATTTAAAAAGAACAAACAAATGTGAAATGCGAAATAAAAAATACGAAAAAAAGATTTTAAAAAGCATGACATGGGAAATAAGGAGACAACACCCCCCCCACGCAATAGGAAATAAAAATAAGAAAAAAAGACCAAAAAAAACCATGAAAAAGGAAATAAAAATAAGAAAAAAAAAGACCAAACCCCCCCTGCACAATAAAAGTAAGAAAAAAAGACCACAAAAATATCATGAAATACTAATTAAAAAATAGGAAAAAAAAAAGATCAAAAAATCCCCACACAATAGGAAATAAAAATAAGAAAAAAAAGACCAAAGAAAACCCATATGACAGGAAATAAAAAACAGGAAAAAAGACAAAAAACGCCACACAGTAGGAAATACAGAAGACAAAAAAATAGAAAAACCCCCACAAAATAGGAAACGCAAAATACAAAGACACAAACACCCCACCAAATAGGAAATACAAAATATGAAGAAAAGACAAAAAAGCTCATGAAATAGGAAATAAAAAATATGAAAAAACAAATATGAAATAAAATATACAAAATACAAAATGAAAAATACCCCAAAAATAGAAAAAACTCCACAAAATGCAAAATAAATATTAAAAAAATAAAACCCCCTAGAAATAAGAAATACAAAAAGATGAAAAAATAAAAAATACGAAATAAAAAGTACAAAAATTAGAAAAAACTATGAAATATAAAGTTAAAATACAGAAAAAAATAGAAAAAAGCCCTACAAAATACGTAGTAAAAAATATGGAAAAATTATAAATCCCCCACAAAAAAGGGAATAAAAGATAAAGAATATGGAAAAATAAACATGAAATAAAAAATACAAAATTCAACATCAAAAAACAAAGTAAAAATACAAAACACAAAATAAAAAATAAGAAATATGAAATAAAAAAAGTATAGAAATCCCCCCAAAACAAAAATTAAAAAAATTAAATATGAAATAAAAAACAAAACACAAAATAAAAAATACAAAATAGGAAATAAAAGCCACAAAGAAAATATAAAAAAGACAAAAAATTTAAATTAAATAAAACCCAATACAAAGTAAAAAAATAAAACACAAAATAAAAAACAAACCACAAAATTAATAAATTAAATTGAAAAATAAAATACAAAATAAGAAATGCAAAAAAATAAATAGAAAAGAAAAAATACAAACCAAAAATTTAAAATACAAAATATGACATAAAAAACCAAAATAAAAAATAATTAAAAAAAAAACAAAATAAAAAAATATGAAAAATCAAAAATGAAAAAAATTGCTAAATGAAAAAAAATATTTTAAAATCCAAAATAAAGAGATTTGGGGCCGGCAGGAGCAGCCCCGGCCCCACCCTGCAGTGCCAAACCCGCAGCCAGAGGCCGCTCCCCCCTCCCCAGGACACGACGTGGTGAGAGGAGCCGGTGCTGGCGGGGGCAGCTCCTGGCCACCGGCCACCAAAAGGCTTCACCAGTGTCACCAGCAACCGCTGCCGGCCCCCAAAACTCCTACCAGTGTCCCACCATGTGCCAGCAACAAGACTTTACCGGCATCTGGTAACGTGTTGGCCACCACCACCAGTTGCCAGAAGGTTTTACCGGTGTCCTACCACGTGCCACCAACCACCACCAATTGCCAGAAGGTTTTACCGGTGTTCTACCACGTGCCACCAACCACCACCAGTTGCCAGAAGGTTTTACCATCATCTGGTAACGTGCCAGAAACCGTCTCCAGCTTCCGGAAGGATTTACCGGCATCAGACACGTGCTGGCAACCGCCACCGGCTGCCAAATGTTTTTACCATTGGCCTATGATGTGCCGGCAACAGCCACCAGGTGCCAAAAGACTTTAGCGGCATCTGGCAACGTGCCGGCAACCGCCACCGGCTGCCAGGTTTTACCAGCATCCAACGATGTGCCGGCAACCACCACCGGCTGATAGAAGGTTTGACGTGTTCTACAAGGTGCCAGCAACCACCACCGGCTGCCGAAAGCCTTTACCATCAACCAAGAACATGCCAGTAACCACCATCAGATGCCAAAAAAGTTTTACCAGCGTCCTACAACGTGCCAGCAACTATCACCAACTGCCGAAAGATTTTACCAGCACCCTGTGATGTGCCGGCAACTGCCACCAGCTGCTGAAAGGTTTTACCGGGGTTCTACAATGTGCCGGCAACCGCCAACAGATGCCAAAATGTTTTACCAGCACCCCCGGCATGACGGCAACCACCACCGGTGGCCAAAAGACTTCACCAGCAGCCAATAATGTGCCGGCAACTGCCAAAAGTTTTTACCGGGTCCCGTGGCACGCTGGCAACTGCCACCGCCTGATGAAAGGTTCTACCAGTGTCCTACACCATCCCAGCAACGGCCATGTTACCGGTGTCCTACAACGTGCCGGCAACCACCATCAGATGCCAAAACGTTTCACCATCATCTGATATTCTGCTGGCAACCATCTCCAGCTGCCACAAGGTTTTACCAGCATCAGACAACGTGCCGGTAACAGCCACCAGGCTCCTAGAGGCTTTACCAGTGTCTGACAGCACAGTGGCAACCGCTACCAGTTGCCAAAAGGTTCTACCAGCGTCCTGTGGCATGCTGGCAACCACCACCAGCTGCCGAAAGGTTTTACCATCATCCGGTAACGTGCCGGAAACCATCACCACCTGCCAGAAGGTTTTACTGGTGTCAGACACGTGCTGGCAACTGCCACCAGATGCTGGAGACTTTACCAAAGTCTGGCAGCGCAGTGGCAACCACCACCAGATACCAAAAGACTTTACCAGCATCTGGTAACGTGCCAGCAACCGCCACTGGCTGCCCAAAAGGTTTTATGTGTTCTACAAGGTGCCGGCAACCACTACTGGCTGCTGAAAGCCTTTACCATCAGCCAAGAATGTGCTGATAACAACCACCAGATGCCAAAAGGTTTTACCAGCATCCCACAGCGCACTGGCAACCGTCACCGGCTGCCAAAAGACTTTACCAGCATCTGATTACGTGCCACCAAATGCCACCAGCTGCTGAAAGGTTTTACCAGTGTCCTATGATGTGCCAGCAACCGCCACCAGATGCCAAAAGATTTTACCAGTGCCTGATATCCTGCTGGCAACCACCACCGGCTGCCGAAAGTTCTACCATTGGCCTACAATGTGCCAGCAACCACCACCAGATGCCAGAATGTTTTACCATCATCCGGTAATGTGCCAGAAACCATCTCCAGCTACCAGAAGGTTTTACCGGCATCAGACATGTGCTGGCAACCGCCACCAGATTCCTGGAGGTTTTACCAGTGTCCTACAATGTGCTGGCAACCGCCACCGGATGCCAGACGGTTCTACCACTGTCCTACGATATGTCAGCAACCACCACTCGATGACGAAACTTTACCAGTGTCCAACAATGTGCTGGCAACCGCCACTGACTGATGGAGGTTTTACCCGTGTCCTATGACGTGCCAGCTACCACCACCAGATGCCAAAAGGTTTTACCAGCATCTGATAATGTGCCAGCAACCGCCACCGGCTGCCAGGTTTTACAAGCATCCAGCAATGTGACAGCAACCACCACCGGCTGATGAAAGGTTTTACCATTTTCCTGTGATGTGCCGGCAACTACCACCAGATGCCAAAAGACTTTACCAGCATCTGATAACAGGCCGGCAACCGCCACTGACTGCCAAAAGAGTTTACCAGCAGCCTGCGATGCACTGGCAACCACCGGCAGATGCCACACGGTTCTACCAGCATTCTAACGATGTGCTGGCAACCACCATCAGATGCCAAAAGCTTTTACCATTGTCCTGCAACGTGCCAGCAACCATAAACGGCTACCGAAAGGCTTTACCAACATCTGATAACGTGTCGAAAACAGCCACTGGCTGCCCAGAGGCTTTACCAGCATCCAACGACACACCAGCAACCACCACCGGCTAATGAAAGGTTTTAGCAGTACCCTACAGTGTGCCAACAACTGCCACCGGCTGCTGAAAGGTTCTACCAGTGTTCTGCAACGTGCCAGCAACCACCATCAGATGCCAAAAGGTTTTACCATTGTCCTATGACGTGTTGGCAACCACCACTGGATGCCAAAAGACTTTACCAGCATCCTATGAATTGCCGGCAACCGCTACCGGCTGCCCAAAGGTTTTACCATTGGCCTATGACGTGCCACCAACCACCACCAGATGACAAAAGATTTTGCCATCATCCAGTAACGTGCCGACAACCGACTCCGGCTTGCCAGAAGGTTTTACCAGCATCAGACACATGCTGGCAACTGCCACCAGATGCCAAAAGGTTTTACCAGCATCCAATAACGTGCCAGCAGCCACCATCAGATGTCAGAAGGCTTTACTATCACCTGGTAACGTGCTGGCAACGCCATTAGCTGCCGAAAGGTTTCACCAGCACCCTCCGGCGCGCCAGGACAGACAGACAGGATACGGTTTGGGTAGCAAGGCAGAATTTATTGGGATTTGGCGTACAAACCATCGAGTGAGGCAGCGCGGCCAAACCTCACCGCGAGGCGCAACCGCCGGTGACGCAGCCCGGAGCCTCCCGGCGCGAGGCCGTGGCACCGAGACGCTCCCGGCTGGGCGGTGGCGAAGGCGCCGGGAGCTTGCGGTCGCGGCGTAGGGACCGCGGGCTGGCCAAGCGCACGGGACGGCAGCGCTTCCAGGAGAGAGAGGGAGGGAGAGGAGAGCCCGGCCGACACAACCTGGACAGAGGAGGGGGATCCGTTATTCCAGCCACACCACATTCCCGTCACTGGGCTTCACCACAGCCTGGCACCGTGGTGTCTCAGCACCGTGCTGCCTGGCTCTACCGGGACTGAGCCGTGGCACACGGAGAATGCAGGGTCTGGATTGTGGCTTGTGGATTGTGCCGGAAAGTTCCCAGCACAACCCAGTTGCCAAAACGCCTGGGCCGTTCTCACCAGATCCCCAATCACACTCATGACGCCGGGGTGAGCCGTACGCCCGGCACCGGTGCCCCTGCTCATGGCCGAGGGGGAAATCCTTCCCCCCTCCAGCCCCGATTTGCCGTTTCCCTCGCCGGTTAATTTGCATCCCGGCGTTTCAAACCAAAACCGTTCTTAGGCGGCTGTTCTAGGCCTGATTTTAACACCGACATACCAAGAAAAGATCCAGCTTACCTGCTTTTGCAGCTCAAACAGGGCTTTTCACCCCCATTAGCGGCCAAGCGCAGCCGCCGCAGCACCGGCAGCTTTCCGGCGGCTCGGAGAGGGGTTCGGTAAAACCCCTCGGCAAAGCAACAACGGCTGAAGGTGACGGTGAGCGAAGCATCGCCGGTGCTGCTCCAGAACTCGATAAAAACATCCCAGAGAACATCACGTAGCGTTTTGGAGTTTTAAACTCACATCACGAGGCTGGAAGCTCGAGCCGAAACGCCGCCACGGACTCGGCACCTTTCGCCGTTACCAAATCGCGCGAGGAGAGAAAAAAAACCAGCAGCGCCGAAACAGCGTCAGCGCCAGAAGAGACGCGGGCAGAAGGGCCGGGGAAGGCGCCGGCGTGCCGAGGGAGCCATTACCTGTGTAGCCGATCTTCTCGAAACTGAGCAGGCTGAAGATGCTGTTGTAAAGCTGCATTTCTTTTTTCCTCGTTTGGTCCATTTCGTCTAAAATCTCCATCAGCTCATTGCCAGTTTTGGTGGGGTGGGTACATTCGGCTTCGTGCACTGTCAGCTCGTGGTAAGGACCCTGCCACGGGCACCCGATCCGCTTGTATTTGCACTGGGTCACTCTGGGGGGTTTAAAAAATTCATGTGAATATTCACCAGATTGGGTCGAAACGTGGCCAAAAAAAAAAAAAAAAAAAGGTGGACATTCCAGTGCTAACTCGGGGTTGCCACGGGGTGATTTTTGGGTCTGGAAACACCGGGAGAGACAGAAACGAGGGTGGGAAATCCAGATGTGTTTTATGGCCCGTGGAAAAGCAACCGGAGCGCACCGGGTTCCTGCGAGGCTAACAGGGCCCGGCGGCACAAGGAAAGAAGGAGGGGGGCTCGCTGTGTGCCAAAACACCGCCACGGCCTCCTCCAAATCACCGGCACCTCCGTGGGGAGGTGGGACGTGGGCAGTGGGAGTTTTGGGCTGGGAAAGAGGCCACGGTGCCAACGGCTTCAGCACCAGAGAAACCCTCGTGCTCGCCACAGGGTCGCCGCACCGGTAACACCGGCAACACCATCACTGTGCCAAAGGGAATTTTTTTTACCTGTCCTGGCATTCCTCTTTCTGATGCCTCTCTAGGAGGGAGCGAGGGAATTGCTGCATGCAGAAGCCGCACTCGGAGGGCAGCTCGCTGACGGCTTTTTCCACGGCCAAGTTGCGGCAACACAAGCTCTTGCTGATCTCGCAGCGGCAATTCGGGCAAGTGGCTTGTTCCTCCTTTAGCCGCGCGTCTGCCAGGAGGTGGATGAAGCAGCCGGCGCACATCAGGTGCCCGTTGGTGCACTGAGGAAGAGGAGGAAGACGGGTCAGAGAAAAATCGCCGGCCCGCCGAGGCAAATTAAAGCCAATTCAGACCTGTTGGTGCTGGAAAAAAAACAAACAAAAAAATGTTTTGGCCAAAAAACCCCACCCTGACACACGGCTCCTTGCGGCCCGTTGATCCCAGTACCAGCCCAGACATGTCCCACTCAAGGCATCGCTTCTGTAATTAGGACCGAGTTTGTTTGCCTCGTTCGGGAGGGGCTGGGAAAAGCTTCATCCCAGCTTCCCTCCTCCTCCTCATTTCCAGAATGGAGGGGGGTGAAGCTGCACCCCCCACACCAAACCCTGAGGGATTCGGGATAATCAAAACCAAGTGAGAGGGGAACGGAGTCCCCTGGGGACCAGGAATGAGGGAAATTACACCGAAACAGGGACAAGGGGAAAAAAAACACACCAAAACCCACTCCCTGTATCCCCCAGCTCCGCAGATCCAAAACGTTCCTGGCCGCCACGTTTGCTGGAGTCGAGATTCGGCGAGATTGACACAAAAATCCCTGCGCCAACCGAGGGAAAGTGGGGAAGAACCAGCGGCGCTGCCAAATCCACCAGGAAGCGGCTGCAAGGGCTTGGAAAGCGGGGATGGAACTTGGGGATGCCCGAGTGGGTGCCACTGGGGTAAAAATAATCCAATAAATCTATTTTAGGCCAATTCTGTCATGTTTTGGAGCGGGGTGACAAGACAGAAGCGTTGTCAGTGTCACCCCGAAGTGCCAGAATCACCGTCTCCTTCCTGTACGCGGGCGCAGTCACTTTTCCCCTCTGCGCATCCAAAACTGAAATTTTTTAGGGAAAAAAAATCAGTTTAAGGCACGTCTACAACAGCTGGGTGAAACCCTCGAGGTGAGGAAGAGGAGGACGCGGGATGCTGCCAGCGGCACCGCAGCGATGCCAGCAGCGCCTCAGGCACCGGAGCGATCCCAATCTGTGCTCCTTTCTTCCCAAAAATTGAGGGGAAAGAGCAACCCCTGAGTGTAAAAAAACAGAATTTTGGAGTTTGCCGCGAGGCAATACCCTGGGAGAATCCATCTTCCTGTAAAATACCGGTGGAGGGGGTGACGGTATCGCCAGGGGGTGTGTGGGAAAACTGATGATGATTTTGGGTGAAAACCCACCTCACAAATCCGGCGGGAAGCCGGAGCGCTCCGGCCTGGAATGCCGTTGCTTCCACAACCGGTTCCTGGAGAAAGGAGGCGGCAGGGGGGATCCCCCCCTCCACCTCCTCAAAATTCCAATGGAATTCCTGCCGGCGGGATAACCAGGAGCTGGTTTTCACCAGGGAAAAAAAAACTTTAATCCTCAGTCAGGATGGGAAAGGCCTGACCCTGCGCCGGGGATTAGCACCGATCTGCTTACCCAGGACATCCATTGTTCCGGCTCCCCAAATAAAAAAAAAAAAAATAATTTCGGCGT